GTGTGACTCAGCATGGTATGGTTCACCGTGGTGGTGATCTCTGTGGTGGTGGTGGTCACTGTGGTGTGACTCAGCATGGTATGGTTCACCATGGTAGTAATCTCTAGGGTAGTGATGGTCACTGTGGTGTGACTCAGCATGGTATGGTTCACCATGGTGGTGATCTCTGTGGTGGTGGTGGTCACTATGGTGTGGCTCAGCATGGTGTTGCTCCCCATGGTGGTAATCTCTATGGTGGTGGTGCTCACCATGGTGGTCTTCACTGGGTTGATAACCTCCATAATTTTCTCTGTGAAAGTGAGGTGTGCCATGGTGGTAGGACTCCTCAGAGGGATGGCTGTGAAAATTATCTTTGTGATGAGGGTACTTTTTGTGGTGGTGGTATTCATGAGGATGGAGCCTGTCATACTGGTGGGGTTCAAGATGCTGGGACCCCGTGGGGTGATAGTATGGGCCATGCTCACCATGGTGGTGCGACACACCAGGTAAATTGTGCCCACTAGAGTAGGAAATCTCACTGTGTTGGTAGGACACACCAGAGGGTTGGTGGTGTGGATGCCCACTAGTATAATGATGCCTGCCTTGGTGATGTGGCCCATCATGGTGGTCTGACTCAGCATGGTAGTGGGGCCCACCTTGTTGAGGTCCAGTGTGGTGGTGGTATGCCTCTGTATGGTGATGGGACCCACCCTGATGAATCCTACTACCATGGTGGTGTTCATCATTAGGGTAGTCTTCATAATAATGGTGGGGGTGGTTGGTAGTATGGGAGGGATCCCAACCAAGGGATGTGAGATGGTGGGCCCTGTCATGAGGATGGGCCTTGCCATGGTAGAAATGAGAATGTGGGAGAACACTGTCTTGAAATCCTTGATGGGCTTCTCTGTGATGGTGGGACTCACCATGATGATGACCTTCTGTGAAGTGATGGGATTCATGAGGACGGTGGTATCTGTCATGGTCTGGCCTGTGGTGTTGGAATGATGAGTGGGAGTGAGAGGGTATATCCAAGTTGTTGGTGTCATGCTCATCTCGAACCTTTTCAGGCATCAAGGGTTCACCCATAGCTATGCTAGGAACCCTGGAATGAAGAGAGTTTAAGAACTGGAAGTCACTGGCTCCTTTCTAGGTTTCCTTTCTGTCCTAATCTGGCTTGATGCCGAATGTATGAGTCCTCTCTCGGAATTCTCCTCTCTGTGATGTCACCAGCAAGTTGTGGATGTAGTCATCCCATTTTACAGATGGGGGAGGTGACTCAGAGTTCAAGTGAGTTGCTCCATGAAAAATGCTTGGGGGGCTGGTGAGATGGCTCAGTGGTCTAAAGCATCTACTTAGAACAAGCTTAGCAAA